TCTCTATGTAATATTATAAATAGAGGATGAGAAGTAATATTGTTGAGACTTGAATACATAGAAGAAATAAGAATCTCTCATCTCTTTCTCCTTACATTCTTGTCTATTTTTTTATTTTATATTATTACTTTGAGCTAAGTTTCTTAATAACGGGCTCTTAGTACTTGCACTTTCTAAGGTCCATGTGCTTTGTTATATTTTCCTTTTCAAAATGTTCATGTGATTTATTGGGAGGTTCGCACAAATAGGATCATTTCAGACTTTTATTTAAACGTTGTCCTGGTTTAAGCAAGTTTTGAAAAAAAATATTGACGGGGCATAACTTGCCCAAAGTTATGTGGGGGGCGGGCGGCCATAGCTTGGAACAGGCGCGGGGCATAATTTGCTTGCCACTTTGGTCTAATATTTTGATTGGCACGGAGTTTAAGAAAAAAATGAATATTTTTGAAATTTGTGGTTCTAAATAAGTCAAAAAAGGGACATTATAAAAGCTTCTCATTAAGGGTAGAATTGTAAGTTTAAACTAAATTATTTTCAAATTTAGAAAGGGGTCATTCTTTTTTAAACGGACCAAAAAGAAAATAAGTTCACATAAATTGAAACGGAGTAAGTACTTAAATCAAGACCTTTCAGTTTAGCGAAGAGCCAAACTGCAATTGTCTTTTGCATGTTCTTTTTTTACTTTGTCAGTAAACAAATCACAAAACTTTGTACAAAAAGATATTTTGAGGTTTGGTATTTAAACCTTGTCTTTGTTTTTAAAAGTTTGCATAATATATTCACATAAATTGGAACGGAGAGAGTATTTTTATTCTTTAAAATATATGGTATCTTCAAATTGATGAAATTTCTAGAATTCTCTCTTGCTATTTAAATTTTATTTTTTTAGGTCAATCAATACAATATACTGTTCAAAATACTAAAAAGGCAGAACAAAATAATTCTAAGCGAGGCAAGACACAGTTTTTTTAATGGACATGCATTTTTGAATGGCGAAATACATAAACGGCCCATTTAAGTTGTCTCCAATGACCTACTGAACATCTCAACTATCTCCGATCAAAAAAGGTACAAAATAACTCTTGTCACAAGGGATTAACACCTCAACTATCTCCGACCAAAAAAGGTACAAAATAACTCTTCTCACAAGGGATTAGGTAGCGGAAGAAATCATCTTGTGATTTGTCTGTGCTGGGATTTGAACCCTGGTCTCTAAGGTTTGCATCCACTTTATTGACCACTAGGCCAGACCCTTGGATGTAAAAATTTGTAACTGTGGGAATTGATTTAGTAGGCTTTTCTGAGTTGATGATAAAGCTACTCCTTCCACTAAACAACCTCCTGCAACTTATAACCATTTCTTGAAACCACTATGTCATATACTCCATGCGATGTAAGCTCCCAGTTTCTACATCTTTTAGGATTTGATGAGAAAGTTTTGACTACCAATTTATCTTATCATCCAATCTTCTGACCTGATTCATCAATCAATGGCTAAAACCAAAAAAAATCAGTAAAACAAGCACGAATGCAACTTATTACCAATTCCTGAATATTCTAACTGATACCCACAATATACGGAAGTTAACATAAATATATAGCGGTCTAGATTGCAAATCGCGATAGCGCTTCATCTCCAGTGAGTCGTCTCTGCTAGAATTCCTCAGCATCAGTAGTATCTGAACAACCAAAGACTGAAACCTTACAAGGAGGAAATGGATCACCATTCTTATTAGGAAATCCCTTCAAAATTCTGGCTGTCTACATGCAATGTAATCCCATTTCTACTTCCCCAGATTTCGTAGTGGAAAAGAGCTATTGCCACATACTCTGATACAAGGAAAAAAATGTTTACCTTTGCAAAGCAAGACATAATACTAGGTCGACATTCCACATTATATAATCTTCACATTATATATAAGTGCCATGTAATGTGGCTGTAGCTAGCAGAGAAGAAGGGAAAATCCTTAAAATTGTTTCAAAGGGTTTATAGGCTGAGAGGGTAATACATGGATTTGTTGTACGTACACACATATGTCTGATATATGTGAACCAGTTACACTATTGAATTGAATGACTACCTTGTTCAACGGCTCAAACTTTTAGACAAGGTACATTTTTATTTACCTAATTATACCTTCAATGCACCCCTCATTGTCGCAGACTGGTTCTTTTTCATAGGTCAAGCCGTCAAGGCGTCAAGCACGTGAATGACGGTAAGACTTTGAACTCACAACTTCTGCTTGCTCTGATACTATGTTAAATTGTGTAAATAGTGTAAATATCTCGTCTAAAAGCTTACATAATGATGTGCCTAGAACCATGTTAATGACTCAACACACTAAATTGAGAGATAGACCAAAAGCAGCTCAATAAACTAACTTGAGAGAGGAAGCTGACTTTCCTACAAGCACGAGAATGGTTGTACCAAAAGTTGTCTTGATACCATGTTGAACTCCATGTACCACATAAAAGTTTTAAGTTTTTAAAGAAGCACACATTTATTTACTTTCTTGTATCTTCAACATAGACTTCCTTTATATATATTTCTCAAGGGGAAGCAAAGGGAGAAGCAAGGTACAATGCCTTAAAGAACTACACTAAATCACAAGAGTTTCTAACAACAGTATTTAGGTTCATTTTTCATATTTGAAATAACTGATGGATTTTATGGTCAAATATCCATAAATGATTGGTTCTCTTTCAAAGGCTAAATAAGTTGATCTCTCATTTGATAAAATTTCTGTCTTCTTATCCAATGAGCAAACTATTTCAAGGCAAAGAATAAAAAAGGAAGAGCAAAGCAACAAAATTTGAAAGAAAAAAAGAAGAAGAAGAGAGTGAAATTCGGTCAATCCCCGTATTGGGCAGAGCACTGGAAATAGAGCTAGCCGTGATTTTTCATTAATAGGAGGATTCCGATACAAGCAGCAAGAGAAATACAATTACCATCTTCACAAGCCTTCAAGAGTGTACTGCATTTTCAAGAAAGAAGAAAATAAAAAGAACAAAAAAGCAGCTGAAAGAAAATGAATCCATCTTTTACGAGGATTTGGAAATGAGGGACATGAATTCTATCATGTGTTGAAAGTTATTAGGGCAGAAGAGGGAAGGAAATGTACCTGATCTGCACACATCATATTTGTCGTCAAATAATATCTCTGACATGGAATCCGGAGGTTTTTTGTGAGGGACTTATTGGACTCAAGACCATGCTGATGTTGATCCAGTCGGAATGGAAGCAGAAAGACCAAGTAATGGTGGCTGCCTGATCATGCTCGTCCAAGAACTACCACTCCAGACGCAGTTATGTGGAAGATCGTGTAGCTGGTGGCACCTGGTGACAGGCTGGTGAATCCGTGGTTTTTGGAGGTCCTGGGTGATGGCTCGGAACCCTTTTAGGAAAGGTACAGCACTAGGCAGTACCAGAACTAAAGGAACCAATGTAGAAATAGAGCCACAGAGCCTTTGCCAATTTATACTAGTTGCTTATCAAAAAAGATTGTGATTAGTATTTTGGGGGCTACTAACATCTTTGTAGCCACAGAAAAAGAGAGTAATAATATCGCTAGTAATGAGCCAAACATACGAAGGACAGGCTAATCTACCTTCATGCATACATAGCTCCATTCCTCTTCAGTCTTCACAAACTAAAAACTTAGGGTGTGTTTGGTATAACGGAAAATGTTTTCTTGGAAAACAAGCAGTAATCTTATTCATTTTCCGGTGTTTGGTACGCAAATTAAGGAAAATAACTTCTCAAGAGTATTCATAAATAATTTAGATACAATAAACATTAAGCCATAAACGTTCGAACCAACAACCTTGCGAACCCACAAATTTCATAAACTTCCGAACTGCTAAACTTTTGAAACCGCGAAATTTCGAACCCGTAAACTTTATAATTTCTAAACCCGTAAACTTCCAAACACATAAACCTCCGAACTCATAACTTTGGAACAGCTTGCCAAAAAAATCTCATTGTTAAATAAAATACCCATCATATTACTTGAATTCTGACATAGTATTTTATCGCTCCTTCTGATCTATTTATGTATATCAAAATCCAACTTAGCAGGCAACAGCTTCTGGATTCTCCATTCTAGTCGGGATCTCACATCAAATCAATGTTTACATGCTTCCGTCTTGGTAAACATTGAGCATTCTCATCAGTCGTCACTTCCTACTCGGAGAAGTATACAGCACATTCTAGGGAAAGTCTAAACATTTCAAGCCTTAGATAAAGGCTGGCAGTGTTTGTAGACCTTTTGGATTACCATTGAGAGGAAACAGTAATCAATATCATACTCTGCCAGGACTGCAGGTAGAAATCATGGCCACCTCGGCCAAGATGGTATACATATTAGAGAGAAATCAGCAGTATAACATAGTATTGAAGAAGGTAGTCAAGAGGAAAAAGAATGAGGACAGAGATAAGCAACAGCTTTAAACTCAGTAGATATTGTGGCCTGTGGGGGATCACAAAAATATTTCCACTGCACCAGTCCTATACTAAATGAGTTTTCATCCATCCTGATGACAGATTCAAAAAAACTAAAAGAAGGATTTAATGGTATTGGGAGGGAATGCTTGTGAGTATTGGATAAAAATTGTATGTTTTAACCAGTCAAGACCGATACTGTGGTGTACCAATGCCATTAACACTTCTTCGCCGTAATCTGTTGGAGCTAACTCATATTTTATTGATGAGGGGTTCTTTCTTCCCTCAAATTGGAAAAGAAATCAAGGAAATAAAGATTTTCTTTGGATTATCATGGTTCTGCTAGCCACTTTTTCTAATCTGTTAAATAACATGTGACAAAACCAGGCAATAATTTTTCTTATTCTTTTAGTGTTTGTTTCTTCTGCTGATGTGTGGGGGAGTGAAAAAGGACAAAGAACATCCCGAATAAAGAAAGAATTGTGAGAAGAGAAACAAACCCCTCTTACTTCCATTATCTTCTTTATAGTTAAAAAAAAAATGGATGTCAAAGCAGGAGTTATAAACAGAGAGGCAAATACCATCTTTCCCATCAATCAAGTTTTCAATTTCAGGCACATTATCTGATTGGGTATCTTGTTTTGTCACAAACATCAACAAGTACACCTCAAATTCTGCCAAGAACTCCAGTAATTTGTAGAAAGGTAAAATGCAGTATCAATCATAGATACATTCAAGTGGTAACATTACAGTGTATACTGTGTCATTGCTTATTCCAAGTGATGAAGTCGCAGTAACCTGAAAGACAAAGAGGGACTCTGTTGATTAAAACCTCTGAATAAAATCATAAATGTGGGAATTTATTTCGTCAGGCTTTTCTTGGTTGATGAAGTGACCAGCTCCCTCCATTACAACAACCTCCTGCAAATTAGGCACTTCTTTCTTGAAACCGCCATTGTGTATATACTCCTTGGTTCCAGGAACATGATACGTCGCGTCCAGATCACCAACCACAAACTTAGTAGGAACTTGAATTTTGCATCCACTAAATGGTGCTGTAAGCTCCCAGTTTCTGCATTTAAAGAATAGATTTAAGAAAATTTGAGCGTACTATTATTTCCACTTTCAATGTACTATGACTAGAATCATTACATAACAGCTAAAATAAGGAAAATCAGTAAAAACACAAGCAGCAGAGTAAGTAATAGGAACACGAGAAATCCCTGGAATCTCTGGTTGATCCTAGAACAGTTAAATAGTATACGTACTTGTCCAGATTTCGGTAGTAGTTCAATCCTCCAGTGAAGCCTGTCTTTTTTAATTTCTCAGCAAAATAATGCACATCTTCTTCTGTTATCCATGAGGGTAATGTCGCTGGTGACTTAGCTAAGGCCTGATGAAAGCCTATCTCCTTAGGAATGCAAGGTGGGCGTGGATCACGTGAAGAAAGAAATCCCTTAATGACTGTTGCAGTATCAACTGAAGCAAACTCCTCTTCCACTTCCCCAGGTTTCTAAATATAATAGCAGCATCAGTAAAACCAAAAAAGTTTACTACTGTCAATTCAAACACAATCTGCGTTGATCGAATTGTATTGCATTATTTTCACATTAACAAATTACAATTACTTGAAAATTAGTGGTACCTTGATGTTATTGTAACTAGTTCGACAGACAAAGGAGGAAATATTAAATCTCTTAAAAAGGGTTTACTAGCCAAGTGAAGAAATGAAGTTTGTTTCAAATATATCCTCTGAGTGTGCATCTGTCATATTTCCTTAGTTTAACCACTCTATTCAAGGAAAGGCATAGAAAGAAAGGAAAAGCAATCATATGAAGGGTAACAACAATCAGAAAAGGTCCAATAAGCATCAGAGAAATATGCTGAACGCTAGCAAGCACCAACCATAAAATTTAAGAACGAAACTGTATTTTACTTCACAGTACTTGTAACTTCAGAAAACAATGAAAGACCCACTAATCAAAGGAAGACCATCCAAGGCAAACACAGGAAACCAGGAATAAAAGTAAGCCTGACTCTTAAAACTAAGATGAGCTTCAAAAATGTCATTCAACTGCTTTTCCCTATTCACTTGGAAATGATAAAGTGGCCACTAACTTGAAAATGAGAGCTGACAAGAATCACCAAAGAAGAATTTACAAACTCAGTTAAACAGGGTAGAAGAACTCATCAAACAAATCATGCTAAGGAGCCCTAGTATCAATATCATAACTAAAATCCAAATAGAGTTTAGGGAACAGGATTCATCTGCTTTCCATTATTGAAAACTGACCAAATTCTCATCAAAGTTACTACATATAGTTGTTCATCAGCGTTCCTACTTCTGGATCCAAGTATTTATTAATGCAGATAATTCGCCAGGGAACCACCACATCATTTATTCGTGTCTGACTTGTAAAGGGATTCAACTTTATTAGCTACTAAAAGAAAAGAGTTGCACAAGTGGTAGCATCATCCATCACATTAGCTTGACTTAAACACAATTGAAAGTTCCACTTTTTCTTTTCCGACTAAATAAACTGCCAAGAAGAAGTAACCAAAAAAATAAAATAAACTACGGATTAATAAATCAACTACCGCTTAACCCTGTAATAGTTGAGCTGAAATCTGCAATTACATAAATAAACAAATATGAAAAATACCTGAAATCTGCACATATAATAGTCATCGCCAAACAACTCTCGCAAGCTATCCACCGGTTTTCGCGAAGGATGCCTAGGACGGAATACAACACTTAGATTAACCAAAGCCTTAATTCGATCAGGACGAAACAAGCTTAAATACCAAGCAATTAGAGCACCCCAATCATGTCCTACCAAGTAAACTTGGTCTAGACCCAGAACATCTAAAAGAGCAACTAAGTCTCCAACAATATGAAAAACAGTGTAATTTGTAGCATCGGGTGGAGAATCAGTGTCACCGTAGCCACGAAGGTCAGGAGCAATGGCTCTGTAGCCTTTGTTAGAAAGGTACAACATTTGGTGGCGCCATGAGTACCATAGTTCAGGGAAGCCATGTACAAATACAACTGCTGGGCCTTCTCCGATTTCTGCTACGTGCATGTTTATACCATTAATGGATACATTTTTGTGCTGTATTTTCTCCATTTTCCTCCGTCTCTCTCTTGCTTCCCCTGTTTGCTGCTACTTTCCCATTCCTTCCTTTTTTTCTGAGTATTAGTATTTAAGCTTTTCGGAATGAGTTTAACTTAAATCTTTACACCGTTAGCTCAGTTAAAGATGATAGATTTAAATTATAATTATAATCATTGATAAGTATAATATGATGCTAGTTATAAATCTTTATCCATAATTATATTACAAGTTCTCTTATGTGTGAATATATTCTCTAAATCATCGATGCTTAGATTTTAAACTCCTAATATAATTACACATGTCGCTCTAAGATATATAACTTGAAGATAATTTATTATAACTAATTAAGATATAATGATAGAGAAAAAGTTCTTACAGTATATCATTATATATATTATATAGTTAAAGATGCTTTTGGAATTAGTGATTTCCAATGCTGTAAAGCGATTTTGATTAATATTTTACCGGCTACTTGAGCACAACTATGAAATAAGATTTTATTGGTATGAAGAGTTTTGCGATTAGTAAATTCCATTTTCTAGATGTTAGATGTCAAATTAGGAACGTGTTAGTTAGGAATTACGTACACACTATGTTTGTGAAATTGAATAATCGTCTTAGTTTTAGGTTCACTCTGGCCGCCCCTCCCTAGTCTCTACCTATTTTTCTCTTTTTCTATTTCAGTTTCATTCGTTTGTCTAACTCCTATTTACTGTTTTCAATTATATATGACATTATAACTCTAACAAAAAAGTTTCAACAAAATGCAAAACCTTAGATTTGTTGAGTATTTTAAGGAGTATTAGTTTCGTACGATTGATCATTGGAATTGACTTTGGTCAGGGATGTCCTTGTACAAACTAAAATTTTATTACCTCAAAAAATAGTATAGGCAGCGAATTGGTTGGTGGCCTTAAATTATTTCGTATGGTTAGTAGGTATTCCAACCTGAATAATTCTTCTTCCAACCAAAAACTAAACATGGTCTTAGAGTTGAAGTTGTTAAACAGTTCCCTTTCATAAATACTTTTTTCAATTATTTTTAGACATGTCTGACTATTGAAAAATATGATTTTATTTAGTCTTTAAAATATAAAAATATTATTTTTTAAAACTAAGAAACTGACATCCGTAAATGTACATTAAAATTTAAATTAATCTTCGTATTTCAAAATCCTTTCAAGAGCAAAGGAGTACTTAAATAATTGTATAAGTAGCTTAGCCGGCAACAGCGAGGACAGACTATCTTGCTTTAGATTTTGGTTGTCATTTCACGACAAACTAATGTGGGTATTCTTTTATGGCCATTGGTTCATCATTTTGTCGTCTCTTCAATGAGATAACTCACTGCATAACAACATAGGAAAACCAGAGAAAAGTCTTGTCCAATCGAATCGGAATTGCAACAATGACAATGTCTTCGAATCAATTTCTTACTAACATCGGGATTGTCAACGAGAAGCATAGAAAACAGGGCCACAGTCTAAGAACTATAAATCAAACGTTTTTCAATACAATAGTGCTCGCATGAAAATCAACTAGTCCAATCAGATTTTGATATCTCCAACCAATACAAAAACCTAATAAATTTGTCCGCAAAGACTCGAGTAGATGGAAAGAAAGCACCATGATTTTTTTTGCCTCTGCTGAGAAATAAACCCTAATTTTCAATCTTTTCACCTAATTTTAAGCAAGCACAGCTATCAGAGCATAAAAGAGCTTAAATAATAAAAAGGGGGTCTTCATATTGTATCATTTTCCTGCATAGCCTTGTAAATGTTGATTGTTGAAGAAATCCCTTTAAAGGCAGCTTAATTTCGTAGAATAGATAATAAAAGCATTCAAAATCGGCTATAGGTTGGAGTGTCACAGAAACAGGGGTGAAATAAGAAATTCGACAAGAAAAAGAAGCTAATATGGTAAAAAGTAGGTAGGGAAAACCTTCTAAAAGAAATTCTCTCATCGTGCACTCAAACACTCGCAATTCCTCAAACCTTGAAACCTCTGCTCTTTCTTTTCCCTCTTGCTCGCTCAAACTTCCTTCCCTTTGCCCGAACATAAGGCTTCGTGTGGCTGTGTGGGACACCAGGAGCTCTACCAAAGTGTTTAACAGCTTCCCGCGAGTTCTTTGGACCCCTAAGCAGTACCTGAGAGAACACATCCAACAATATCAAGAAAGCATAGAAGCGGTGAAAGGGGTCTTTTTAATGGCAATCAATGAATTGCAGAACAAATTACTAGCACTATGTTTTCCACACACACCACTTCCCTACTCTCAAAGACAAACTTCACTACTCAATATTGCTCTACCATGAATGAATCATTTCCCATTCATGTACAGGAAAAGTCGTCCAAACCACAATTCTAAGGACACCCCACTTTATAGTAAAAACCACTACAGCATTCACACTACTTACTGACTTCAATTATACAAGAAAATCCATAAAAGCACGAACTGACAGGGGACATAGTTCCATACCGTGTTCTGCCCGAGAGGGGCTCTAAGAGCAAGCTGATCAAAGGTCAAGCATTCTCCTCCAGCCTTCTCAATCCTAGCTCTAGCTGTTTCTGTGAATCTCAGTGCAGTAACCTTGAGCGAAGGGACTTCATAAGCCCGAACATCATCAGTAACAGTCCCTACAACTACAGCAACCTTGTCCTCCTATCATATAGGAAAGAAAATACAAAATAACCATTTAGTACGCCAGTAACAACTAGCTGCTGTTTGCTTTGTTGTATAAGAAGAACTAATCCCGTATATAACTCCACATTATTAATCAAACATTTAATTTCTGGCATAAAACTCTGAACGGTTTGAGGAATAAAACTTTGCATTATATAACTAATCTATGCGTTATTTTATACATGATAGAATAAGGAACAAGAACATGTGTATCAACAATACAAGGATTAAGATTATTCTGACCTTAATATGGAACCTATTACTACTATTCACAGCATATTATTATTATTCACTGTCTAACAATCAAATGCTGCATAACTAGTCCTTGAGCAAAAGGACCCCTTAATGGGCAGCAAGTGTAAGCTATTCAAGTAACAAAATTAACTCAGACCAGAACAACCAAATTAAAATCAATAAGAAAGAACATTCTAACAACTAATCACAGAAAATGAGTTTAAACTCATAGATCAGTAAGGTAAAACAGAGCTAAAAGGGCTGAATAACAATTACCTTTCCTTTCATGTAAGTAATCAAGCGTGATAGAGACAAGGGAGCTTTATTGATCTTGCTCATGAACAGCCTCTTCAGTATCACGGCATTGAACTGGCTCCCAGTCCTCCGCACAAGAAACCGGTACAGCTGTTACATTACCCAATTAGCCATACAATTCTCAGTACACTATCCAAAAAATGCAATATATTTATAAAGACAGAAGTTTTAAAAGGAAAAATGAAAAACCTTGACAAGAAGCTTGAGATAAACATCGTCGGATTTTGGGGCAGTGCGTTTAGTCTTTTTCGACTTACCCCCGGCAACTAGATCGATACCCTGAAGAGAACAGAAAATAACAAAATTAACAAAAAACAAATGTAAGTGGAAAGAGTGTAGAAGCTACTGGAATATTCTAGAAAAAGGCATTCACCATGGCTGCTCCGCCTGCTGCTTCTGCTTCCCCCCGCGGCTGCTGCTGATATGTTTGATTTCTTCTACCTCGACGGATAGAGAAAGAAGAAGAAAAGCTTTTGTAACCCCTTTGAATCAAGCCCTAATCCACGAACGTTAATGGGCTTGTTGGTTGTGTCTGACTTCAGAGTATTGTTAGTCTAAGCCCAATAGGCCCAAGCCACTCTATCAGAAGGCTTATCCTAGGACTAAAAATTTGTAATTGTACTAGTTCCTAACTTGGTAGAAAATAGGTAATCTTACGCAAATGTCCCAAAAAAGTCTCAACTTACCAACCTCTAACTACTAATCAGACTTACCAAAACTAGTCAATTACATATAAAAATTGAAAATCCAAAGAAATAAGATTATTTCTCTCCAAGAATCACACACAGAGATCTCCTTCCATATTTTAAAGTGTGATTAGCAACATTAGATGCAAGACGTTCATGGATGAGGTAGCAAATAAGGTGATGAAATACAAAAATATATATACAAGATTCCAAAAATCTAAGCAAAAAAAAGACTTTTTTCAATGGGTATGGTTGAGATTCATTGAAAAGATATAGATGAGTCAGTATACAAAATTTGAGGAAGATTGGAGGTGATTTAGATTGATTTGGTATCAAAATTCTTAGTTAAAATCGAGTTCAAAAAATTCTTTAGCGACACATGTATCAGCATGTATCTCACACGTATGTATACATGGATACACATTTGATACAAATATGATACATATGTGATACACAGTGTGATCATACACCTATCATTTTTTTCATGTTTATCTTCTACTTCAAATTTTCAATTCAAACCACCTCAAAACTTCACCAAATCATCCCAAAACTGAGATTAAATCACCTTAAGATGTATCCAATCTATTCTAATAACACCACTCAAAAGAAAGCAAAAACTGACCTTTTTGGCTACAAATAGCTAATTGGCTAATATTAGCTACTTATAAATAGATATAGCTGGTATTTTGCCTAAAAAATACAAGCTACTCCCGCTGACACAATTTATATGTGATTCATTGTTTAATTCTTTTTGACTCGTTCATCATAGTCCAAGTAAACTTTGGGCGAGTCAATAACCCGCTCATTTATTTATTTAGGTAACTCATTTTAGTCTGTTCAAATTTAGTCCACACGTTCATTCCACACCCTTATATACTGTGATATTATAATTCTTGCAAAGTACAATTCTTTTACCTTTACTTTGATTTTATGCATTTGAATGTGAGTCTTGTGAAGAAAATTTAGGGCACTTGAGTTAGCATTGTTCGAACACCATCTTTGCCTTATCCAACTTTGGACCCATTTTCATTGCTTACCAATAAAAATGAGATGCTTGTCGAATTCAAGTTTGTTATGTTGCGAAAATTGAGGGGACCGGATACTGGGATAAAATTTCATATTCGTATTGGTATTTCACACAAAAAAAATCATATTAAACGGTGGCACCCGCTATTAAAATAACTGTTGGGTGCCATGGTTGAATTGCAGAAATTCCAAACGCAAAGATACGGGATCGAGTCACACTATTTTATTTATCCTTGTATGTAATTGCGCCCCCCCTCCAAATCTTGTTTCTTCCTTTTATTTCTTTTCTTTTGGCTCTTTTTCTTAATTTATTTCTTTATCTTGATACTTCCTCTCTCTTTGTGCAATCCATTTATATTACTTATTTAAATTATATATTTACTTCCTTTTTCTTTTTATAGACCTTCAAAAATTGTTACGAGCGTGATTTTAATCATTTTCTCTTTCTAATCCGCGCTTGTTTTTTTTTTTTCAATATTTCTTAGAATGATGGCATCAATAAACATAATATTAATCTAGCTACATGTAGATTGAAGGGGTATTTTTGCTAATTTAGAGTTTTTTTCTATTTATTCAGTAGGATTTGGATCGAGAGAACTAAATCGAAATTTATAAAACTTATATGGTTTGGCAATCACGTATTTATTTATACACCAAAAATCGTATAAATTAAATCATATTAATTCAAATGGATCGAACCAACCCAATCCAAATTATTTCAAAACGGATCTAAATGATTAAGTGTACATCTTAATTCAACCTCCTTCACTAATGATAGGTTTTACTAAAGGCAATAACACTCGTAGTTATCAAATCCTAAATTCGCCTCTATGCGAGTATATAATATAAACATGTCACAACATCAACTCGATAGGTAAAGTGACCAATACACATTTGGGAATAATTTTGGTCTCATAATTTACGAGAAACGTATTTTCTTATTTATGCACATGCATGTTACTGGACCAACATCAATTATTTGTCTTCCAGCTGGAATGAACACTCTTGCGGGTTTCTTGAAAGTACAACAAAAAAATCAAAATGTTACTATTGTGATAAGAAATATATCAAATTATGGTGGATGTCTATTCTTCCTTCATGATCTTCATCTTAAATGCTTAATAACATATTCAATGACATATTTTCTTCACTTTTCATGCATATATAAAGGCCTTATAATAGATAAGAAAATACACATAATTAAAGAAGAAATAAGAATCTCTTCTCTCTTTCTCTATATATCTATTAGCTTGTTTTTCCTTGTTCTATATTGTTACTCTGCCGTCTCAAGAATCTCTTTGAGAAGACTAAGGTATAATTTTTCTTCTCTTTTAATTATGACTGATATTATGAAAAGAAATCTCCCGAAAATAGCCTCTCTACCCCCTCTGGAGTAGGGGTAAGGTCTGCGAACACTCTACCCTCCCCAGACCCCACTGGTGGGATTTTACTGGGTTGTTGTTGTTGTTGTTGTTGTTGTTGTTGTTGTTGTTGTTGTTGTTGTTGTTGTATTATGAAAAGAAAGTTCGTTGCCCTTGAAATTTCGGGCAAGAATTATATGACATGGGTGTTGGATGCTGGAATCCATTTAGATGCAGTGGGTCTTGGAGACGCCATTAAAGATAGAAATAAAGCACCTACCCAAGACTGTGCTAAGATCTTGATTTTCTTGCACAATCACCTTGATGAAGGGTTGAAAATAGAATATATCACAGTCAAGGATCCACTTATTTTGTGGAATGACTTAAAGGAAAAATATGACAACTTAAAGTTGGTCACACTTCCACAACCACGATATGATTGGGCTCATCTGAGGTTCCAAGACTTTAAGTCTGTTTTTGAATATAATTCTGCGATGTTCAGAATTACTTCTAAATTAAAACTTTGTGGAGATAGTATCACTGACTATGATATGCTTGAAAAAACGTTCACAATGTTTCGTGCCTCCAATATGGTCCTGCAACAGCAGTACCGAGAGAAAGGTTTCAAGAAGTACTATGAATTGATTTCTCTTCTCCTTGTGGCTGAACGAAACAATGACTTGCTCATTATAAATCACGATAATCGACCCATTGGGTCTACACCATTGCCAGACATGAATGAGGTGTATTCCCATTATGCTAAGCGTGAAAAAAGTCGTGACCCTGTTCGTGGCCGTGGCCGTAGCCAAGCAATATTCTTCTTTTCTTATGTGTTAATATTATATTATTCCACTTAGCATAGAAAATTAGTACCAAATAAACGTTGGATTTTTTTATGTCAATATGACTTAATTATTTAAAGTACCAACAGTATCAATGCCGCACTTTGTTCAAGCAATTGGTTTGTAAGCCTAGTAATCTGAGTTCTAATAAAGCGTCATTAACCTTTTCTTCAAGAAGGATGTCAATTAAGAGTTTACATGTATAACTTTGACTATTTTTTATTTAGCATATTTTAGGAAATCTTTTTGTTACTTAACTGTTGTATAATATATTATTTATGGTAACTCGTTAATATGACTACAATATTTCGTCATTTTGTTTATTATATACCTTATGAACGTTGGTCTTGTTTTTAACGTTTATACAGTTTATTGTCTACTTTTGTGTTTAGTTACCTTTATTTGCATACTAATTGTTTCATGTGTATTAATATGACTTAAGTTTTTCGTGTTTTAAAATCATATGACAACCTAAAAATAATAACATTATTTTTAGCTATGGAATTGTTTGTATCATAATCAGAGTTTGCTCGAAATTGCATTAAAAGTCACTATTGAAATATTGGTTTAACTTTATTTTTTTTCCTTTTTTTCTGAAAATAGTAATATTTATTTATATACTTCTTTTTATATATCAAACCATGGGAAGTAAATATGGATATCTCTCAAAGCAAACTTGGATCAAAGTTCAATTGTAAAAATATTTGCTTAATTGATTCATGTACGACACATACAATATACAAAAAGAAGAAATATTTCTCTCATTTAAGTACATGTAAGGCAGATGTTACTATAATTTCTGGTAGTAATAACCTAATTGAAGGCTCTGGAAGAGCTACTATAACTCTTCCTAATGAAACTGTAACGACCCGACCGGTCGTTTTGAACATTTGCACTTCGCTCGGTTGTTTGAGGGCATGAGCAGCTCCGTATGATGTACTTTGAGTTGTGTAAATCGTCGGTTTTGGTTTGCAGGTATTTCGGAATCGAATTGAAAGAAAGAATTTCATTGTTGAAACTTTAAATTGGGAGAGTTGACCAAGTTTGACTTTTTAGTATTTGACCTCGGATTGGAATTATGATGGTTCCATTAGCTTTGTTAGGTGATTTTGGACTTAGGAGCGCGTCCGGAATGTGATTTGGAGGTCTGTGGTAGAATTAGACTTGAATTGGCGAAAGTTGAAAATTTGGCGATTTTGGTCGGCAGTGGAAAATTTGATATTGGGGTCGGAATGGAATCCCAGAAGTTGGAGTAGGTTTGTAGTGTCATTTGTGGCGTGTGTGCAAAATTTGAGGTCATTCGGACGTGGTTTGGTTGGTTTCGGCATCGGTTGTCGAATTTGAAAGTTTAAAAGTTCTTAGGCTTGAATCCTAGGGTAATTTGGTGTTTTGATATTGTTTTGAGTGATTCGAAGGTTCGACTAAGTTCGTATGGTGTTTTATGATTGGTTGATATGTTTGGTTGAGGTCCCAGAGGCCTTGGGTGAGTTTCGGGTGTGTTTCGGGTGAGTTTTGAGCGAGTCCGGGCATTTTCGGAACTCATGTATGGTTCTGGTGGTTTAAATTTTGCGGACCG